CAACCGTCCCGTAACTGTTGATGGGCGCGACAATCAGATGATGCAACGTCTCTTGGCGCATGCGGAAAGCAGAAAACCCCATGGACCAAAAACCGTGGCAAACCGCAACAAAAGGAAATTACATTAAACGCGTCTTGCCATTTTTCCAGACATCGAATACTTGCAGGTGATTGGCAATGCAGTGGTATTGAAAACACAGAAGAAAGAGAACCAATAGAATATCCTTGCAGTTCAGTATGCTCTTCTTTTTTAAACACTAGTAGCGCGCTAATTGAGAACGTTTGCAATTTTGAATCCCGCTACAAAGAACGAGATAATTGAACGTGTAGAAGAGGACCACATATCTATACTACAGGAGTGTCCAGACAACGATTTCGATTTTTATAGTGAACTCATTTGTAATCGAGCCGAATGTCATGATCTTTTCTACAAACTATAAAACTTTGTCCATCCGAGACTTGAAGTTGCAATAACTGGAAGTAGTGCGTTTACCTTTATACAAATTCAGGACATTATAATAATGTAAAAATAAGCTCTATAACATGGACATGAACTAAGACATTTGGAAAACTCTTATGACCCAATCTAATATGAACGCATGCCGTCTAATACATATGCATTTTGCGAAGATAAACGTTCAATTAAAGTAATATGATGAGCAAAAATTATAAATTGGAGTTAGCTTTATACGAACATAGTTTAATTTGGATCGATCCTGTGTGCATCCGAAATTTTTGACGTGTGTAAAATATTGGGTTGGCCTGCATTAGAACTGAGTTAGGAACTCTTAAATAAAATAAAACAAAACAACGTCTTAGAGCGCATTCTGCGTTTTTATATTTTTTTATTTTGGCAAAATTCATTATTACATATAAAGTACAAAGATTTGATAAGTTTTCCAAATAAACAAACTCTATTCTTTGAATTGTGCAGACATCAATATGTTGTATTGACATCAAAGCAGTTACAAATAGTAGTCTAATATTACAAAATACAAAGATTTAAACTCATATCATAAAATCTAAATAGGCGTTTATTTCTAAAATGAGTTCTTTCTTCATTTTCGACTTCAGAAGTAGGTAAGTGATGAAAATGAATACCAACGATGGGTGCAGCAATGCAAAATGTACTCATTTGTTAGTCTTATTTTTATATCTACATTATTTCAAGCCTCATTTTTAAGTTGAGTATCAACTCATTAAAAAATAATAATTTGCTTTTATGTTTCAGTACATTACCGTTATCCTAAAAAGAAAGGCTTTGTCTGACATTTTTTGCTTTTTTACAGAGTATTTATACAATTTTTATAAAAACTAAAGATCTTCAGTTAAGATTTTTTTGTATTATATTGGCTTTTATTAAACCGCAACTAATTTTTTGATGTAGTAATTGATTTTAAGTTCGATTAAGTCTGTTGAATAATCTACTCACTTTTGTACAGAGAGTAAAATGAGTTAGGGCCTTTCTAAATTAAGGTAACGGTACATATCGTTTACCGAAAGAGTGTCATTTTCCAAAAATTCGAGAATAACGGCATTTACATTTTTGAGTTTATATGCATATATAAACATAAATACATAGTAAAAATAAATACTTACATATTTTGTTCTAGTGAGTTACTGGTATTCGTTACAGCAATGAAATTTTTACACAACATAGAACAGGTAGCGTTCATTTCTGCATATTTTTAACTTGATTTTGGATTATGACACCCTTGCAGCAAATGTGCAATATGTATATAGCATATGGAGGGCTTATATTCAATACCCTCTATCTGGAATTTTTACAGAAACTACTTTGTGATGTTAGAACCCATCTGGGATTTGCCTGTCATCACTGATGTTGATTCCGACTTTGCAAGGTAATTGTAAATTCTTCTGTCAAGCGTTATACAAGGTCAGCATTAATATCACCAATGACAGTTAAGTGTTAGGTGGATTTTTATATCAGAATCGCATTTTTGTGAAAAATTAAGATAGAGGGTTTTGAATATAAGCACTCGATATGTAGATTACTACATATAGGCAAAAAGGTGTACGAGGGTTGCTTTTTATATTTTGCGCCTTTGCAACACTACTTGTGATGAGCTGTAATTCGGTACTTTTTATCGAAAAGTTTGGTATTTTTTAGCATAAACTTACCTAAAACGTTCTCTTTTACGAGCTTTGTTTTATTTTTTTCCAGTGAGATTTTTTATCTCGCCCAAAAGATTGAATTAACTCGCGAAAATTTTCTTGTGATGCTTTATTACGATTTTCGACGTGGATTATCGAGACAGGAGTGCATTGATTAACTTACTTCGACTTTTGGCGTTGTAGCACTACACTTAGCCACTGTGAAATGCTGATACGAGCGCCAACATGGCCGTCGATCCTTGCAGCATGAATTTCGTGA